GAGTTTAGTCAAATGCAAGCAATATTGTCTGTTTTAGGTTGGGCTGGCATGATCTTGGTGTGTATGATGATGGTGGTGTGGGTGATGGTTAGTGTGGGTTAGTTTGTAACGATGTTTTTCAATCATTTCCAGCAGTCTTTCCTTTGTCACTGGATCTCTTATACTTGCACAAACACCTAAATCAAAATATAAATGGAAAATGAATTAGTAGAAGGGCAATATTTTAGAGTTAACCCCTGGATTAATGCTAATACTACTAATTAATAGTCTTTATTAAACACAGGGCTTTGCACTTACTCATTGCAGTTTTATAAGCATTTGGAAAAGTTTTGTCTTCTCTCAAACGTAGAAACTTCCACTGCTTGCCATCCCATGTACATTCAATAATTCTRTTRTTAAGAACTCGAAGTTGTCTGTTGACCTAAAAAAAGTCATGTTGCAAACAATAATTTAGCAAATTACATGGATGAAAGTTTTAGTTTTAATACATTTAGAGATAAAAGTCACAATAAGACAAGTTTGTGTCRAAATGTCAAGTAAAACTTGTCTTTTTTTTGTGACTTTTACCTCTCAATTACATGCACACGTAATAATAAACAGGAAGCTAATAGTAGAATAATATTAGTATACCTTAATAATAGCAAATGGGGGGGTGTACCCTGTCACAAACAAATTACCAACTTCTTGTGGTAAACATCTGAAAAACCAACAAAAAATAATTTAGGATATACTACAGATACTAGAAATAACACCAACTGAGATATAGACATGGCTGATGGTCATTATAAAAGGACCCTTATTGAATGTGTATCAAGTGGATTGAATGTGTATCAAGTGGATTGAATATCTCTAGAGGACATGGTCAAAATGGATTCTTTGCAGCTCTAAGGTTCCTTTTACAACTTATGGTGCTCATAATTTTATGTCATAATCTAAAGATAGATTAAGATAGATTAATAATTTACAATGATATATTAAGTTTTTTTCTTACCCTATTTGCTCCACTCTGCAAATCTTGAGTTGGAAGTCAACTGAGTTTAGAGTGTGAGGTTTCCATTTCAAAACATCAAGCTGATTCCCCCCTTGATATGGCTAAAAACCAAGCAAACAATATTAAACAAGAGCAATCAGATAACATTGCTCCTGGGTTGAATCCAGGGGGAGGCTGGCAAAAGTGTCGAGCTGATTGCCTCCCTAATATAGCTAAAACCAAGCAAAGAATATTAAAGAAGAGCAATCAGTTATCATGGCTCCTGGGTTGAATCCAGGGGGAGGCTGAGGTGATGGTGGAAATATTTACCTCTGTTGCTGGGTTAAAGATAAGACCATCGTTTTCATGGCTAAGCTTTGTAACCCAGTGCTCTAAAAGCTGAAAATCAAAAACAACAAACTTATTAATAAATCCCAATAGCTTGGACATTGCCTCTTTCTCTTTGTTCTCAAAGTGAATTTTTGTAATATAGTTGATTTTTGTTTGACATGAAGATTTATACTACTGTGCAATTTTAGCACTTAGATTATGACATGATAACAGATGACACAGTCATTAAACAATACTGCTTTTAGTATAATCATCTGGCATGAAAATGTCATGATAGCTAAAATGTCATGATAGTATTTCACWGTACTCACCCATCTTGCTTTTTCAACAGAAAAAAACTGCTTGGCTCTGATACTAAAAGGTTCTTTGCTTTTGTCTAGCATTCCTTGTCTCACCTTATAACAAACAAAGTCCCATTTATTATAGTCATATTAAATGATTAATAATAAAACAATGAAATTCTTACTGCTTCATTCCTAGGATGTTCKATTTCTTTTTGAATGCAAATCATTCTGGTGTCATGTGGTGTTCTTCCAACATCTTCACCCTAACAGTCAGTATCATGTATTAAGTTCTTTGGATTTCCTGTGGTGAATATACATGTRGGAGATTGGGAAGGACTGGTGATGACACTCATCTTCATTGCCCTGGATACAAGTCTAGTCCCACAGTCTATTGACTTACACAGGAAGCCCATTAATGGAAAAATGCAGGACTGCATACATGCACAATGTATAGACTAAGGTGCACATGTAGGTGGGCAAATTTGCATGGACAAGATGCTGCAAGATTATGCAAGATTACCTGAAACTTGATAATATCATAAGCAAGATAACGAGGATGAATTTTATCTCCTTCTTTGTCCATGACCATCTCCTATTTACGGAATTGTAAATGCATTATATTTAACAAGACAACTTTAAAAAATGCACATATTCAAT